GAATTAGCTATTTATCCTTTCGAATTCATTAAATTAACTAAGATAAAATTCCATAGTGAAATTTGTAACGCACTTTCACTATTTACCAGCAATGATAGAGCTTTCGAACTGAATTATCATTGTAGACATTTGAAAACACCTGAAAACTGCGTAACGGATATCCACATCAATCTTAACAACAAGGTTATATGAAGTTAATTATTCGTTTATGATTATGTTATTAAGTCGTTGTGAAATTGTTATTTGTAGTTTAATTATTTTGATTATTATGCAGTAACCTAACCTATCCGGGGGTGACAGAAGCGTCGTTCCACGGGCGTGAAGGCCTAGGTTTGCCCGTGGCGCGGGGTCGCTCACCGGGAGGACGGCTTGGCGTCCCCCGGGGAAAGGCTAGGAGCGGCCGGGTGGACCGACACTAGGGAATTTGTGGTTTCGATACGGGCGCTGGTGGAAAGGCGCCCGTACCGACGGATCGGAGCTTCCTCGTAGCGGTAGATGTAAACGGCGCGGCCTTCGGGCAGCGACGGCTAACACCGATCCAACTACAACTGTCGGCCCCACATAGAGAGGTGGCGGCTATGCGTCCGCAGCGGTGGCTGCTGATGGTAAACTAGTAATATATATGTTAGTCTCAATGGCAGCGGGCACCGGTGTCAGCCGGGGTCCGCTCGCCGAGACGGAATTTGACGGTGGTGATACTCGGCGGTGGCATACGAGGTCAGACGACCCGGTCCCGGTGGTCTAGGCTGCCGCGCCGGGTGCCGACCCGGGACGCATAAAGCGTCTAGGCGAACCTGCTCCCACGCGACCTCTCGCGGGTTGCGAGGGCACGGCTCGCGACTCGCGCAGTTGGGGAGTTACCCGGCGAAATGTCCAAGGGGAATGGCGTCGGGTCTTTCTCTTTGACGGCGCCGGCCTATCGCACTACGACAATCCTCGCGGAGATCGGTCTTGTCCGGCCCCCGCCGGGGAGTGCCGTACCGTTGCGTGAGCCCGGCGCCCTAGTCCCCCACGGGACACGACTCGTGAGGTACTTGTGCGCGACCGCAGTCAGGTGTGGGCCACAAAAGCATTAGACCGGGGTCTGGATTTAAATGACTGAGCACGGGGGTCCCCCGAGAAGGGGACGAGAACTGAATCTGACCTTCGCTGGTTGGCCCAGGCGCGGGCAACTTGCTGACACGACTGCTCGGCCCGGTACCGCCGCTCGCAGTCTAGAAGGCGCTCACGGGAAAAATACTGGGGGACCACCTTCGGGGGTCTCCCCGGGCGACCCTACCTGTTATGGGGGGTCGGGGAACCACCAATGAGATTAAAATCTTGGAGAAGGAACAGTCGGCGATTCCGTTTGGGCCGACGCGGCTGCGCACAAGAATCGACCTTAGGCGAATTGGTAGTCGCTGATAATATGCGTAACCCGGAAGGCCTCTTCGTACACACGCCCATCCATCACGAGTCGGAGCTAGTGCAGGGAGCAGACGGTCCCCCCGGAAGCGCCACCGGGCTGGATACGAGCCCCGCCCCGGCGGTGGTCTACAGGACCGAGGAGAAAATGATAAATTTCATTCAAAATAACACGGGCGGAGGAAAGGGGGCCACGCACCAGATAGACAAACTTCTGGTAGAGTTAGCCATAGAAGTTGCGCTAATCCAAAAGCCTGCGACCGATGGTACGGGGATCTACCTGTTAGACAGGCATCCTCTTAGGGTAATCGCGGCGGGACGGTGGCCGAAGGCTGCTGTTGTTGTCACGAACCCGGCCATAGGAGTCCTCGCTCTTAGACATCTCTGTACCCCCCACTTAGCCGCGGCCACGCTCATGGTGGGACAAGTCAGCTTGACGGTAGTATCTTCATACTTCCAGTTCTCTGACCCCACCCAGACACACGCCGACGCGCTCGGGTCCGTCCTGGACCAGATCCGCGGCGCCGTGCTTGTCTGTGCGGATGTTAACGGGCGGTCGACGGTGTGGCACGATGAAGTCTCGGACGACCGGGGCGAAATAATCGTGGAATTGATAAGTAACCGCCTCTCTGGTGGAGCTCGGACCTCGGTAGCGAGCTCGTCCGATTGGGACGCTGGAAGCGCAAACTACGCGCAGAACACATTGCATTGGCACGTGTTGGCAATTAGGAGTAGATTGCATCCTGGATATGGTTTTTCCAAAAACAAGTTTCAAAACAACTCCAAGGATACATATGGAAATCAAGACTATGGACTACAATAACAAGAAGCTTTTCCATATATAAAGGAGCCCAGAGACCAGCAACAGCAGATGTACCAGAGCCACGAAGACCTGAGCACCTTCGCAACAATCAGCCACTTTTTGTATCAATTACATGTACTTCATTTATACATAATAAACACATTATTGTTCTTAAGAGTTGTAAATTTCATTTAAATAACACCCTGAGTCTGGATCTGATATTGGCACGCAACAATAGCGATGCAACGGAGTCCGCAGGACAGGCGGAAATCCGTAGAGGGACCGGCGTTTATGAGGGTAGATTCGATTCGGCATTACCTGGGCTTAGTCCGACGTTCGACCCGGTTGAACCGTGCACGGTCGATGAGGTAAGAGATGCCATATGGTGGATGAAAACATGTAAGGCCCCGGGCCTGGACGGGATCACGGCAGAAATCTTGCGGCAAGCGTGGCCTGTCCTCAAAAACCAAATTACGTTTGCGTTCAATACCTCACTGGCTACGAGGACATTCCCGAGCCGGTGGAAGAACGCGGCGCTGGTCGTCATTAGGAAATCGCCCGATAAGGACCCGACGGAGGCTAGGTCATACCGACTCATTAGCTTACTCCCAGTTCTAGCTAAGGCACTGGAACACCTTATCGTGGCGAGAATACATAAAGATACGGACATCCATATGTCGGCCAGACAATTTGGTTTTACCAAGAACCTATCGACCGTAGATGCAAAGACACATGCCTTCAGCTGGTCAGATGAAAGGAGGGAGAAATACGTCGTAGGCGTATTCCTGGATTTATCGGGGGCGTTTGACCACGATTCGGGCAAAGCACGTGCACGTATTCAGCCGGCTCGGGGCTTGATACGAGAGAGGCACCGGCAGAAACGGCAATCTGTCGATAAAGAGCAAAACCGTACGCACTAAAAGGGGGTCGTCGCGGTACACACAGCGGTGACCCGATCGACCTGCTTGCGGACAAGGCAGTTGCAAGGGCCTGAACGCCGGGTTCGAACCTCGTACCACGGGACTCGGAGTAAGCCCAGTCGAATCTTTACTTTAAAAATTATACTATTAACAAAAATTATAGTTTGCTGTTCTATCACTATATGTTATACATATACGCTAGTAAATCACTTAGATAAAATCATTTCACACTGATATTTAAAGTAAAATATATTTTGCTATATTTCATTACTCATCTTTTCGTTGAAAGGTAAAAAGTCTTGTTTCGCGAGTTCGACTATTGTTTTCAGTTTTAAACGTAATCATGTTTTCGTGCAGTGTATGCGATAAAACCTTTACTAGAATCTGTAGTCTACACTATGTTTCCAATAAGATTTCATGCAATAATTGTTTTCAAGTGTTCACGCAAAGAGATAACCTCATCAGACATAGTAAAGAAAAACATCGTAAGTATTATTTTTTCACAATATACAAATTTATTAGATAAAATATTCATAAACAAATTAATAATAATAATATGATTACTATTTTAAGGTTCAAATATTATAATCCAACAACAACCAACCATAACCAAGCGAGAAATTCAAGATTTTTTGAAACCTACTGAACAAATTTACGATTATAAAGGTAAATATCTCATTTATATCTTTGTACCTATACATAACTTAAAATATTGCTTTATACAAAAATATTTTAAATAAAAATTATATTATTTTTTATGTTTAAATTGTTAGGATACAATATTTATACAATTAAAAGTATCTTAATGAATATACATAAAAATCATCACTTCTTAGTAAAAAATAGGAAATAATAACCTAAATTGTATAAAATTGTGGAAAAATATCATAATTTAGATAAAATCCTGTACAACTAGCATAGTTGGTCCCATTAATAATATACATAAATATTAAGAATATTAGTAAAATAAATTTGTCAAATAATTTTTGATAAACTCGTGCAATAATATATTAAAGTAATTGAAAATATTTCCAAACGATTATTGTCATAATAACATTTGTTATTAAAAGCATACACAAATAATTTTAATTTAATATATATATTATTAAGTATACCCATAAATGTTTTGATAAATATATTTGATCATATACATATTCATAATACAATATGAATTTCTTATTTTTCTATGAAAACATTTTTACATTTAATATTATTCCTAATGAAAACATATTTGGGTACATGTTTAAAAATCCTAATAAAATTATTTTAAAAATTACTTAACTCAGAAAAGAATATAAGTAGATAAGAAATATTAAACATTTCTATAAACCGATATTCTCATATCAGTTGTATTATTACATACTATAATTTCATGAAACAAACTCAACTAAATATAACATAAACATATAGACATTGATATTCAAGACATAAAATACGATTTTTTTTTTTCATTTGTTTTTCCTATACACCTTTTTTTTTTAATGGTAAAATATATATCTGATTTCAGCTCTATCCGCTTCAAATCGCAATAGTCTTAAGAGTGAATATCATGTGGAAAATTCAAACAAAGCAGTAAATGCTAAAAAAACACGCATGAACATCGTCAATACCCGTGGTTTTGTTAAGACAGGCACATCGCTCTCAAATAAAATCAATTGGTATTTCATGAAAAATACAGATAATTTGATCAACTACAGTAGTTTTCTAATAACATCAAAAAGAGACCTAATACAATTACTCAAATCGCTTTCAACTAAACATCCAATTAAATATAATCTAAAATTGGAAGCTACATACAATAGACCCCATGTTGATAATTCTACAGAGAATAGAGCATTTAAGACCTCAACCAAGGACATTTTCATGGATACAGATATCGAAGCCAAGATTGATATAGATTTTGATAATCTTATATCCGAAGAAAACGACTATACTTCGAAAGGAAGTGGATTTACTTTACAATCAATAGATGGCTTATTGTTGGGCGTATATAAATATACACCTTTGGGTGGTTCGTCATATATTCCATTACCAATTGACATTAAAAATAAAAAAGCCGTAATTAACCAACAAAACAGTGATCAACAGTGTTTCAAGTGGACAATTCTGGCGAAATACGTTTCGGGTAATAATAAAAATCAAGTAGCCGAAAATTATACATTACACGAAGAAAAATACAATTTTTCCAAATTTAACGTTTCCAACACTCATCACTAAAATAAAAATATTTGAAAAAATAACCAAAACGTATCTGTTAACGTATACGGTTTAAAAAAACAGAAAAAGAGTGAAAAACATATTTTTTATCCACTTAAGATATCATCGATGAAGAAGAAAAAGATCATTTTGATCTTTTACTAATTACCAACGGAGATAAGAGTCACTACACAAATATATCAAATTTATCAGGACTTGTCCGTGTACAAAAAACATCACATGACGGTCATGTAATATTTTGCAAACGGTGTTTCACATAATTTGACAATCGGCTACGGAAAAATACGCTAAGCGGACAAGCAGCACCAGAACAACACAATATGATATGTGGAACACACAAACCTATCCTACCTCAGATGCATGCGCCCGGTACAATATCAGAGTTCGATGGCTGGAATAAAACTCAACGACACCCGATAGTTATATATGCCGATTTTGAGGCACTTCTTGTTAAATGTAAAGAAAGAAAAGGCGAAAAAACAACAGCTTTTCAAAAACATGAACTGATGAGCTATGGGTTTGTCGTAAACGCTACAGAAAACGTTCCGATTGATATGCTAGAAAAGTTCAATTTACCACAAGAACCCATTATTTTCCGTGGTAATTAGTCTCATCAAAACGTAGCCAAAAGATTCGTGAAGAGCTCAAGATTTGCTTCAAACAAATAAACCCATCGTAATGACCAAGGAAGAGCAAACAGCACATATGATGACAAATACATGCAATTTGTGTAAATGTAATTTTCTAACAAAAACAATAAAGTGGCAGATCACTGTCACTTATCGGGCAAATTCAGACAAACGTTGTGTAATACCTGTAACCAATAACTTTTCAATACGATTCATAGATACTTTTCGATTCATGGCATCGAAATTATCAACACTTGCAGACAATTTAATAATACCCGAGTTCGAAAAGTTCAGAGAGACGGCAAAACACTTTTTACCGAAGATATTCAGCTCGTTACTCGTAAAGGTGTTTACCCTTACAAATATACTGATAATTGGATCAAGCTCGAAGAAACGAATTTACCAGAAAAAAAGCGATTTTTATAGTTCACTAACAGAATCAAGTATAAACGATAATGAATACAAGCACGCCAAGACAGTATGGAATCATTTTAAATGCAAAAATCTCGGAGAATATAGCGACCTTTATCTCAAAATCGATGTTCTATTATTGGCCGATGTATTTGAAAACTTCAGAGACATGTGCATTTCAACATACAATTTAGACCCTGTTTTCTATTATACCGCTCCGGGATTCAGTTTCGACTGCATGTTAAAATACAATAACGTCAAATTAGAACTACTCTCTGACTTTTACATGCACTTATTTTTTTGAAAACTCAATCCGCGGCGGTCTCACACAAGCTAGCATGAGGTACGCTAAAGCTAATGATGAAGACTTCAGATTATGACACGACTAAGCCAAATTCATGGATTGTTTATCAAGACTGTATTAACTTGTACGGGTGGGCAATGTCACAGTACATGCCGTACGGTGACTTCAAGTGGGTTGACCTAAATTAGACGGACTAGATGTTTTATCACCTACCTCAGATTTAGGCAGAGTGTATGTAGTAGACATATCATACTCAGAAAATGTACATAACAAACACAACGACCTACTATTTTTACCCGAGAATAAAATTCCTCCTGGCTCAAGAGTAAAAAAACTTATGGCGACATTTCATTCAAAAAAAAAAAGTTATATCATTCATTACCGTAACCTACAGCAAGCTATAGAAAATGGATTAATCGTAGAAAAAGTACACAGAGTTTTAGAATTCCGACAAGCAGATTGGCTTGCGAAATACATACATTTAAACACCGAAATGAGGAAAAAAGCTTTAAATGAGTTCGAAAAGGATTTCTTCAACCTTTTAAACAATGCAGTGTTTGAGAAAACGATGGAATCGATGAGGAAACGTATTAAGATGGAACTAGTTTCATGTCCAAAAAGATTGCAAAAACTTCTGAATAAACAAACATTTAAACATTGCACAACATACAGTGAAAATCTAGCTGCTGTTTCGCTAGAAAATAAAATTATCGAGTTCTGCAAACTGATATATTTATATATAGGTAATAAACTTACACATACAATTATTACTTTATAAACTTATTGATTTATTTATATTTTTTTAGGTTTCGCAGTACTAGACATAAGTAAAACGCAGATGTACGACTATCACTTTAACGTAATGCAGAAACATTATGGCGACAAATTCGAGTTCATGTATACAGATACATGTAAATTATTATAATTATTATTATTATTACTATTACTATTAATACCTTATTAATATTTTTTTTCTTTAGATTCTTTAGTATATTATATCCAGACTAACGACTTTTACAATGACCTGGCGAATAACTCTAAATTGCACGATTGAATGGACACGGCAAATCTACCCAGTGACCACCCGTGTTACATTGCTGAGAGAAAGAAGATACCCGGACTATTTTCTGATGAAACCACTTCGAAGCACTCCGAGCAAAATCTTATGCTTACATTTTAAAAGACAAGGAGAAAATTAAGGCAAAAGGCGTCCGAGGGCACGTAGTTAAAAATCATATGAATTGTCTTTTCGCCGATGATGATGATAATGACAAGTCAAACCTGTGTAGAGAAAATATCTCTATCAGATCATTCAGCCATCAGATTCAAATAATCAAATCCAAAAAATTATGTTTCAACCGACAGGATGATAAACGGATAGCACGATCATACATACGCCCACGGACATTTTAATAATAATTGTTAATATTATAATGGAAAGGAGATTTTTTTTTTTTTGTTTTAAAAAGTTGTTAACATATTTTTGTAAATATTTTTATATAAAAATAAACTTGTTATTATATGTATCGTGTTTTAATCTTTCGAACCTAACCTCATTAATTTAGTTATACCTAGTAAGTGGTAACACATACACTTATATATATTTATAAATATTAGTATAGACATAGATTAAATACACACTAGATAGCCCACCGCCATATAGAATACGGAAACACGTATATTAGTAACGTATGGTGACAATAAATAGGGCAAGCGGTGTCAGTGTTGCTTTTTTTAACTGTGGAAAAAGTCCTCGAAATAATCCAAATTTAAAACTCTAACGTTTTCCTAAGAATATTAATAGATCAAGACAATGGATCCGTAAATCAGGTTAATCATTAAAACACAAATTATAATTAGGGCGAAGCCCGGATTAAGGGGGGCAGGGGAGGGACCATGTCCCCCTGGGCCCACGTGTTTAAAGGTCCCATAGTCTTCTCGGGTTAAAATTATATTGAGTAATAATTTTTTTTCTTGTTTGAACTAACAGGCAATGAGACCCGTTAAAAAGCTAGAAATTATTATTAAAAAAAAATATGTTTTTTTTATGTTTTTAACCTCATTAATCTTTATCATACTTAAATAAAAATGTTTGGATTTGTTTTATTGTATATTTTTATAATTTTAAAGAATTGCTTTC